GAGGAGCAATAATGACATAATTATTTGTATACACACTATCTGAGAAAGCTGTTTTTGTTTAATCATGCGTTTGTCTTTAAATCATGTTAAGTGTTAAAGCTTGGTGTTATTTCGGAGATTTACACGTCATCATCGAAATGGGAATTGTAATATTGTAGGTGTGCAGGACTTTGATATGATATCGTTTGTCTTATGATACTACATTCTACCATTGATGAAACCAATTGACTGTGTTATCCCCAATTCCTTTCATCCTATATAGCTTCATGTCCAAAAATGTGTTTCTAAACTTTCTAGCCTTTGCGTTTGGAAGGTGACAAGGCGTGATGTGCTTAATTCAGACCAATATCTTGATGTCAGCTAACTATTAACGAATATAATTGAATATTGGCTTTGTGTGCAAACACATGGAAGTAATATGACAGAGAATGCGGTAATACGAACAATAAACTAACTTGTTTGTCCAAAAATAAATAGGCTTTGCCTAAAATAGCCTGCGATTAACAGATGTAAAGATCAGTATATGATGTTAAAACAAGGTTTACTTTGTGACCTATTACTGCGATACGATACCATCAGGCTTTAAAAATAGCAATAAAACAATGCCATTCTAAAACGTGAGTAATTTGAACGGATGGTTGTTTCTAGACAATCTAGATATTGTTCTGTCTTTGACAAATAGGTGGAGACCTTTATATCTGATGCAGTCTATTCGTTTGTGTCCTTTTAATGTCGATATGTTAACGTTCCAGCTTCACATATTTGCTATTTATAATAAGAGATCAACGCTATTGTATTGTATTTGAAATGTTTAGTTGAAATACCCAGATCTCAATTACTTGGAGTACCAATAACAATTATCAATCGATTAATCATTTAAAGCTCTGGATGTGCGCTCATTAACGAAAATTACTTTCAGGGAAACAGGTTATCATGTTTCCATTAACACATTAATCTGGTGTATAGTGATCTATATCAACTTCCTGTTAGTTGGGAAGCTATCAGAGACGTTGAAATCAACTCCTGTTTTAAATAGGGAGAAATGAAAATATTCTTTCTGATTTTTAATATCATAATTGAGAAACGATATAAGGAATTTGGATATATGAAAACTGCATGTAATTTAAATAAAATCTACGATCGTCACAAATTTTAGAAATTTTCCATATCCATGAAGTTATTCTTCTCGCATTCACATTTAAAAGCGTTTTGTCGTTGTAAGCATTATCTACCGTAAAATTATGGGAAGTGTCGAAAATAAATCTTATCGTTTATGCAAATTAATCATCATAAACAAACCCTATATGGCCATTTTAAAATGGAACAAGAACACACGCTGCCTTCAGAAATGACAAAAACACGGTTTTAGTGTCAGTGCCTTAACAAATTTATGTCAACTATATGCATTTCGTTGGAATGATCCCAAGAATCGTTCTCCATTTAGAATGGTTGATTTTGTTATCAAGAATGTCAATGAATTAACTCAAATCGACCATTAACGTCTGGTTTTCCCCCTTGATTTAACTATCTAGCACATATTCTTAACACCGGATAACAATTGATATGCAAATAAATCGTGCTGGACGGGAATTATAGCCTGTAAAAGTACCCGAAGCCCCGTTCATGCACTAACAGTCGTAATTGTCCAATTGTGCATCGATTTCTGTACCAAGTTCTTGACCCATTTTAATAAAAAAAAATATGTATATATATTATAATCTAGTGCTTATTTCAGTAATCGTTTGGCTTGTATTTCTGCCAACATACTACTTCGGCGTGGGCTGCGTGGGTGTTATGCATAGACGAAGCGTTGTATCGATTGGTACACTGATCCTTCTCCAAGACACAATGCCTGGTAAATGTGGATCACTAGGCCAGTGTAACGTTAATCCTCACAAGCTTCATCCCATCATGAGTAATGGAATATTTTCGTTGATTTAGATTGTTCATAGTTTGGAAAACTGGTTGACTCGTAAACGTTGATGAAAACCCTTTCTCACATACTCGTCAATTTCAAATACTCTAAACTATCAAAATACATACTTAACAGAAAATTTCTACCAGTATATCGCAACAAGATATAAATGGAAGAGAATAAATATTCTTAAATGTAGGATATCGATTTCAAAGTCAAAGAAAGTCATTTTACTGCACACTTTACGCTTGCAAGTAAATAGTGCTCTTGAAGATTTCTATTCACCAAAATCATTGATATATAAATAGATGTTTTCTACTGATCCTACGTTTGTCAGTACGGTAGTCTAGTGGTAGACGCCGGGCTTGTGATTGAAGAATTGCGGGTTCGAGTCACGGCACGGCACTGTGTTTTATCTTGGAGCAAGGTAATTTACTCCGCTTTTTCCAGTCTACTCAGCTGTAAATGAGTACGTGGTTGGGCAGTACTAGAATTGTTGAATGCTAGCTGTTAGAGCCGAAATGGCAGCTCCGGCTATATGCTCCCCAGGGAGTTGAGAAAGGTGTTGGCTGGTTGCAAAGGCCCGATAACCACGAATAATAATTTTTGAGCCACTTTGAGAGAACCTACGAACTGGATTGTGATAAAGCGGTATATAAGAACATCGAATTATTATTATCATTATTATATGGATTGCAATGGCCGATGTCCATTTGTCCTTAATGCTTATTAACCCCAGTGTTTGCGTTTCTAGTATATCATCAAATGAGTCGATATTAACAGTTCTTTGGTTATCTTTCAAGCGCACCCCATCATCGACAATATTTGAGGAAATAAACTTGATCTACCCATTGATTTTATTAATCATATTTCAATACAGTCATATTCCTTTGTGCAGTGTACGTGAAACTAACAGGCCTAATGGCATGGTGTTTGGTCAGCAGAATGATAGAGTAGGTAACTAGTAGGTTTGTCCATATGAATGACCTCGCCAAACTTTCAAGGTCACATGGGCAAATATGTTGAAACCTTATTCAACTTCTAAATAACTAAGAGCCCGAAGATACCGATATCAGGCCAATACAAAGCTACAGTGGATAACTATTATTATTTTAAATTAATGGTTTAATTCATTTTAACGGGTTGCATGCGGATTGTAAGTAAACAAAGTGCATAAGGAGATAGACAATTAGCCTTCTATGGGTAAGCTTACTTGCTTTCAAGTTTGTAAGAATAAAGTTTACGTTTAGCACCTACACAATCACTTACACGCTCGAACATACATGAATGCGTGCATTTTATTATCATCATTAGAATGTGTTAATATCTTAATTATGAAGTGAGTGATTAAAAAGAATCGAGTATTGGTTATCCCCTACTTCGCTCTATGAACTTCGCTTTGGGCGCACTCTCTCACGTACTCACATACACAAACATACGCTTGCTTGAACCAACGTACGCACGCATCATCGCACACACAATATATTTGTTTTTGACACAGAGCTGTATATGACCCTTTGAGAACATGCGGGCCAAATGACAACACAGTTCATATAATGTTGAACCCATCGCCCTCGTGGTGTACCTAAATACTGAATCCGAGCGCATGGTGATACGGAGTACAACAGATATGCAGGCGTTACTAAATTGGTTTTACTACACGTAATTAAATTAATCAAACGCCGAGTGTCCTCGGAGAGTGTATAAAGACCCCTCTTTACCACTTTTATGTTTTCTTACTTCGATTTTTCCTGACACGAACACGTGTAATGGTTACAGAAATAGAAATCGTAGAAGGGTTATTGATCCTATGTGACAAAGCGTATACAAATCATTGTTATGACGGAATGAGAATAAGAGTTGTTGCCCTTGTTTTTTGCACTCTTGGATAAAAACACTGTTGATAAATTGCTTCTGTAAAGCTGTTTGAAGGGATAACAAAACAAAACAAATAGAAGAGAACTGTATATCCGGAAAAAAATATATGTAATTTGCTATCCTCGTTAAATACTGGATTACAGAGGCTTTGAAATTCATTTATTTCATTACTTTCGATATATTTCTTTATACAAGCCATGTGTCTTTAAGTATTAGGGTGTGCTCATTGTTAACAATTTTTTTATTTTTCTATATAAATTCATTTTTTTTCATTGGATTAGCAAATGACATGTGACAAATTAGAAAAACATGTAAAGCATGCTATACAATTTTTACGGACTGGGTGTTTCTAAAAAATAACCATATTTGAATATCCCGCCAATCGTAAGTCTCCGACCTTTGACGTTTCATCTAGCGTTGTTGTAATAAGATTGTGTCCTCCAGGTTTGCGACTGTTTAATATGAAGCCCTATCAGAAATTGATGATTTAAATACAAGTGATGGTTAAAAAATATAAAGCAATTGTCGCAGGTTGAGTTCGGTTAATACATAATTTTATCAACCTCATCAACATGCAATAATTGTATAGTATAGTTTCTGTGTGAGGTTTTTTTTTCTCTCTTTTTTTCTGCATTTTCCTTGTTATATAATTCTTTCTTTATTCTTTGCTTTGCCATTAAGGCCTCCATCCCGATACAGGAAAACTGTTACAGAATCCATTGTACGTTTACACAAAAAGAGTTACCTCCCCTTAACTTTGTTTTGTTTTTAACGGCATTGTGACTTCGCTAGTAAACTACCGTTGTTAAAGTAGTTGAGTTGGTTAAGGCAATCGTATTGATTTGATATAAGGATATGTGGCACAACCAGTAAGCGTTTATGTGTGACGTTTCGATGACTAGTACGATTTTCTGATAAAAGCGACAGGGACGTATTTATCGGAACGTCGCACATAAACACTTACTGGCTATGATACATTCCAAGTTTTTTTTCCATAAAAGTTTCTCAGTGTACATCTTTATCAAATAAATGATCAAAGTTATTGCCATTCAAGTAAACATCTTTCCAATTCATATTTACAGTTTTGGCGGTGTGACAGAGTTCCTTACATAGTTATTTACTGTCATTCAAGTAGGGATACTGGCGAAATGTGAGTTTCTCTTCTTTCAACGTGATGTTTTTAACAATTTTTTTTTTTTCATTTCAGAACTGACCAACGACACTACCTGTATGAAATTCAAGATCCCTGCTCACATAGCACATAATAGTTTAGCGATAAACAAGGCGGATTTGTTCATTCACATAAAAAAGAAGGGCAAGCGAAAAGCAAGAAATTCTAGGAAATCAAGAAAAAATCGGAGGATAACACTGAAAATATCAGATTTCACGGTGGAAGCTGGACGTGGGAAAAAAATAAATGCCCGATTCAAATTCAGACCATCTGAAACCAAGTTTTACCGGGTTGCTCTACCTGTTTCCTATTTGACAGAGATTAAAAAATCCTCTGCAAGAAATTTACATTTGTGCATTACTTGTATCAAGTGTAATCGCAAGACTGCTATAACATTTCCATTGAAGAAAAAGGTGTTTCGTGCTCCAAAACGGAAGATGAAGTTGAAGAAAAATCGTCCATACCTGATCATAAAGGCCAAAAAGCCTTTTAAGAAAAGGACAAAACGTGGAAAAAGTGTCGAAGATTCCGACTGTCTTCAGCAAAAATTTATGCGGTTCTCGCAAATAGGACTTGGTAAAGTAATTTTGCGTCCAAGAGGATTTTATGTAACAACGTGTTCAAGGACTTGTATATCAAACGGCGTTGAGTTACCGGAAATGCAAAGTGGTGTAGGTATATCAAACAAGAGGCGTTCAAAAAGCCATGTGATTAGAAAAAAAGATATCAGTGTAAGTCAAAATAGTACCAACATGGATATTGTCATCAAAAGAAAAATCTTGCTCAATTCATTCCACAGTTGCAGGCCTTCTGGCTACGAGCATAGACAATTTGTCGCCGTAAAGGATGACTTAACGCTATCTAAAATTAATGTACGTATTCAAAACGCCGACGTCCAACGTTGTAATTGTCAAAGACTGTGTGTTTAGGTTGAATATAATATCGAAGAAAATGATATATTCAAATACTTTTTAAATGAGGATAAAGACAAATCCGTAAATATGGCTATGTCCAGTACACATGCATATCAGATAGCTTTGAATCAATATTCTCTGACCGTCGCGTTTTGTGTCTCAATCTTTTTTCTAGTAAAGTTGATTACTTACCATCTGTCACCGTTAAAGTTAAGGATCCTCGACCCACTGCAAGCAAAATAACATTTTGTATACCGACAGTATCGACCCTTTACTTTTTTTGTTATCGATACAGTATAATGTAGTGGGACTAAGACTCGTACCTATTGGTCAATGCGAGGGTGCCTTGAACGGAGGTCCATGATTCGAATCGTGTTCCGGCCACGTATTCCCTTTACTCTGAGAAAACTGTCGTGAATTTTTTGTATTATTTTTTTGTCACAAGGTATTTGCTTTTGCTTCCTTTTAATTTTCTGGCACAGTGAAAAAAATATATCGCTTTTCTAGTTCATAGATAATGACAGTGGTATGGGGATCCTCAAAGTTTATAACCATTTAAAAAATGTACGTTACTTGTGCAAATTCACTTTCAAACATTTTTACCTGCAAAGGGAAACGTTACATAGTAATTGACTTATTAAGATCAATTACATGCTTATCAACAATTGCATTCCACATGTTCAGTATTTCGCGTTGAATGGTAAGTTTGAGAAAGGTTATGTAAATAACAGGTGATATTTATTAATAGTTTTGATACTTACAATTATGTAACATCCGCCTTGATATTGGTTCATGTTGATGGGCAAAACGTTTATTGTCTCACTCTGTCGTTGAATAGTGATGATCCGATGTGTTGTTCAGTGACCACCTCATTTGTACGCCATTTTCACTCATTCTACCCTTTTTGTAGACATACATATGTGAAGGTATGCTTTCCATTATATATTATCAAACACTTTACTTAAAGACCTATGATGAAATCAAATGAATACCGGTGTAACAATATCAACGTTAGGCAGTTGGGTTTTGTTTGTTTTACACTTTTCTTACAGCATGTCTGGCATTGGTTTAACTGATGCGATGTCTGAGAGTAATTCAAATGCATTATGATTGTTCAGGATTACGTTTTTGTGTTAACGACGCCGAAACAGTCATTCCATGTTTACAGGACGTTGTGATAAATATTTTTTTAAATACTTAGAGATGAAAGAGAGTCCCTTTTCGCTGTTTTGCGATAATTTGGTTTAATAACAATCTTAGTAAGATGAAAACACCTGCTTCACTGTTATTTCATACTAAATTGCTTTCAAACTGTTCTTGATTTTTTCTGCAATAACTTCATTTTATGTAAAACTTATTAAGTAATTGTACTACGCCGCGAAAGACTTTTTTTGCGAACCATAACACAAAGACAAAGTGTCTGTGATTCCTGACAACCACAGAAACACTATTTGTGATAAAAGCACCCAAAGAGACACTGTCTGTGATTAGTATCACCAAAAAGAGACGCTGTCTCTGTTTAGTATCACCAAAAGAGGCATTTTCTGTGATAAGAGACACTGTCTGTGATAAGTATCACCAAAAAGAGACGATGTCTGTGATTAGTATCACACAAAGATACACTGTCTGCGATAATTATCACCAAAAGATCCACTGTCTGTGATTAGTATCACACGAAGATACACTGTCTGTCATTAGTATCACACAAATATACACTGTCTGCGATAATTATCACCAAAAGATCCACTGTCTGTGATTAGTATCACACAAAGATACACTGTCTGCGATAAGTAGCACACAAATAGACCACAGGGATCTGATATTTTTTTTCCAGCTATATTTGGACCTAAACTAAGGTGTTCAAAGTAATTGGACATGTTTTAGGGGTTTAGATCGACTTTCGGTTAAAATGACACCCCCTATGATCATATATTCGAGAAGGGAGGAAAGATCTCGATGTCGAAATGTCGACCCCATCTAACTTTCTTGCATCAAAAACAACATTTACGGGAAAATGCAAGTACCGTTGGAAAGATGGATACTTTTTCTTTAAAAAATCTCCTTTATGCACGTAAAATGTATTCTCCTTCCGCGGGCACGAACTCCGTTCCCTCCAAAAAACACACGCGATTTCACTGAGAGTTTCAAAGTTTTTGGCTGGAAGTGAAGGCATTTTTTCGTTAAACCAGCCAACACTGCATGTTTCAGTGCTCGCTGACCTCAACCTCATAAATATTCAAAAAAGTGGCAGGCTGACTGCGAAAAACTGAAATGGCGTGTGTTTTTGGAGGAAACGGGATTCATGTACGCGGAGGGAAAATACATTTTACGCGCATAAATGAGGTTTTTAAAAGAAAAAGTATCCATCTTTCTAACGATACTAAGTATTTCCCCGTAAATCAACTAGAAATGTTATTTGTGATGCAAGAAAGTTAAGTGGGGTCGATATTTCGATATCGACAGCTTTCCTCCCTTCTCGAATATAGGATCATTCGGGGTGTTATTTTGACCGAAAGTCGATATAAACCCCTATTCATGAAACACTACTCTGAACACTTAGTTTAGGTCCAAATATAGCTGTAACAAATGCTCAGGTCCCTGTGAAAGAGACACTGTCTGTGACTAGTATCACTCGAGGAAACACAGACTGTGATTATTATCACCCAAAGAGACATTGTCTGTGATTAGTATCACTCAAAGAGACACTGTCTGTGATTAGTATCACTCAAAGAGACGCTTTCGGGGACTTCTTCAAACTTGGTTTAATTACTATAAGGCAATCGATATGAGGACATTGCGTTCCATTAGTTGTTCATAGGCTAGATGTTATAATTTTAAATGCAATTGAAATTCTAGCTACGTTATTTTTTCCTGTAACGAACTGGCTAGTTAAATAGAATAGAACAGGTTGGATACTTCGCTGAGAAAAAATAAAATCTCCTAAAAATCATTAGTTTTGGTAGAAAATAATAATAACATTGCTGCAAATCCATTCCATATTGGTCTGACTCAAATGTGAGAAACCTAACATTGCAACAGTAATTGTAAAACGATGCATTCCTAATCAAATAAAGCATCTTACGTCAAAACCGTAAAGATGTTGTACGTGTCACGTTTCCAATATTTGTCCATTTTTAATCTATAAAAATATCATAACTGTACGCAAAAACCGATCAATTATAATCGATGCCTACAATCACAATTATAGATCAACAAGTTACAACTTGCTTGGTGATAAGATCAAATTCCAGTTACAGCACATGATGCTTAATGCAAATAAGAATAGTTAGCATACATCCTCAGACGATATAATAGCATGCACTAAATTACTGTGGTTCGTGTTTTCCATAGAATTTATTACATTGTAACAAAAACACGCAATCATCAAGTAAGCCTTTTTGCCTCTGTCTCTAAAAATAAAAACATGTCATTATCGTTCAAGGCTTCACAGAACAGACTTTTGTGTATAATTAGATCAATGAGTCATATTAAACTGACCGAAAGCGTTGTTCTGTAGTAGATGATAGGATTATGTGTTCAAGGACATCTGAGATACCAATAGCATGTCTTCAGGTCTCGGTAGAAATCTGAAAACAGAGTAAGTATAGATGTCAGAACCAGGTCGCTTAGAGAAAAATAAACAATGGGTCGATGAAACAGATGACGCTTACCATTTAAGAACACCCTAGTTTAATCAATTATGAGTTGGAAATACTTTTTGAGTTAAAACCGTTTTTTCCGATTTTCTCTTTTTTCTTTTTGTTTGATCGATGACAATTATGCGACAAAAACGAAACAAAAAAACAAAAGCAATGACGCATATCTTTCGATAAAAGACATCATTGAAACATCACCACTTAACTTAATTCTTGTAAGTTGTCATGCCATTACCATGTTTTCTTAACATCACCGCTTCGTCATGATTCATGATAATATATACCAAAATACCACGTTTGTTTTCAAATTTTAAAATACCAATAACAAACAAAACATCGCCATTTTTGTGTTCGTATTTATAAGCTGCCTGTTATTGTGATTACAGCATATAGGTACACATGTTATAGTTGTGATTACAGCATATAGGTACACATGTTATAGTTGTGATTACAGCATATAGGTACACATGTTATAGTTGTGATTACAGCATATAGGTACACATGTTATAGTTGTGATTACAGCATATAGGTACACATGTTATAGTTGTGATTACAGCATATAGGTACACATGTTATAGTTGTGATTACAGCATATAGGTACACATGTTATAGTTGTGATTACAGCATATAGGTACACATGTTATAGTTGACAATCTGATAGGAATCAATATTTGTTGCAAACTGTCTAATTTAAGCAATTGGTGATATAGTATAACATTGTGTTGATAGAATTGTGCCATTTTTTTTTGTCTAGATGATATTTTGCTACATGCATAAACGTTTGAGTATTTAAAAGGATTAAGGAAGAATAGCGTATAGAATAAATATAGAAAAAAAGCCTGTTTTTGCTACTTAACTACTTGCTAATGTTACTGAAGATAAAATGTTTGTAAATTTTATCTCGTTCAACTCTCATTCAACTCTCGTTTAACTTAATTTCCGATCATGTTCAGAAACGTGCTTAAGAGAGATAAAGGGCGTAATGGTTTCGATGATATATTAATTAAGGAGCTATTTATGACCTTATCCTTATCCCCTTTTTATTACAACATACTCTTTATTTTATCATTTTGATTGCAATAAATGAACATTACCATGAAAAGGGTAGATGCTGTTATTTGATGTTTTTTCATTTGGATGTGAAAATTAACAATTGCCTCTTAAAAATATGTGTTTGCTTCCTTACAAAGTTAGCTTAAGTAATAGATATTTTTAAATTTCACCTTGTGTATTTTGATGATTGTAAACATTGTATGCCAGAACCTTTAAATTCAATATCAGATACTATATTTATTTTCAATAACAAAATAGTTCACGTTCTTGTCTTTAGCAAATAATGCGCATCCAAAAGACAACTGATGCAAAACATCTTTTCGTGCAAACTCTTGATTTTGCAATATTGTCATTTTTTCCTTTTTCTTAATCCGAAACGGATTATTTACAACCATGTTCACAAATTTCAGAATATTTTATATATTTTTATGCATTCCATTATTTCTAAAACTATTCCATTGTGATGTTTCCATTTCCCTGCATGTATTGTTTCCTTCTTGTTCAAATAAGAAAGTATATTGGCATACTCGTTTTGAAATTACATTCCTGTTGTTTTATAACATTGAATTATTGTCTTTACATTCCGGAATCTATTGTACTCAACCACAAAATTGACCACTACTGATGCTTGAGTGATTATTAAATTATGGCATTGATAGTTTATTTTACCAATCCGGTGATTTGCTAGATCACAGGGCGTTGACTTAATTAGATAACTTGTTATATATCAACATCGTGGATCAATTGATGATGTACTCATTTAGACTACAGATAGGCTAATAAATGTCTCGAATATTGCCTGTTTGTAGAAGGTATATGGCACTTTTTACAGTTGATAGCATTCATAACATGTTTAAGCGCTTTTATAAAGTTTTATAAAATATTTATTTTCTCAAATGGTACGACTAAAATATTCAGTTCAATCTTTATATTGGTACAGGTTGATGTGTTTGAAAATCGTAATCATTTAATCATCAATGCAAAAACCACTCAAACATCAATGTGCCATGTTTGCACTATTATGACCGATGTTTTTTTATCATGAATGTTCATATTGTGTTCATAACTTGTAATTGTAAATACAAAATGTCACGTGCCAATGTTAAACGCCGAGCCTTTAACGCTGTTGTACAAAAAGAATTTATGTTCAAATATAATTACATATTCCAATTTATCATATTATTTAAGCTTGGTCCAAACGCAGTCAGCGTACATGACATTTAAGTAACTCGCCTTGTATTTGAATACATGAGGTCTTGTATTGTATGCAGCTAGCAAGGAGTTGTTTGTATTTTATTGTTACTGTGATCCCTTACTGTAACCCATCAACAGAATAATTTTATCTGAGAGGTTTCCCACACAGTCTGTTCATGATTGCTTGGAGGTGTTACTCGAATGTTTCCTAGCTTATTGGAGGGTAGAAATGTTGTCCCAAATTGTATAAGAGATGCCGTTATGAATGTTATCAATATTGTAGACAGTTATGTTAATGTGATACATCCGTATCTTGCATTTGATGTTAAATAAATTCGTTATTTGAATAATGAGTTTGATTGTTTTCTTTCTCTGACAGAAAATCACTATAATAATAATAATTCGAGGTTCTTTAATACCGCTTTATCACAACCTATATATATATATATATATAGCTAGTTCGTAGGTCGTCTGAAAGCGGTTCACAAATTATTATCCGTGGTTATAGGGCCTTTGCAACCAGCAAATACCTTTCTCAACTCATCGGGGAGCATACAGCCGGTGCTGCCATTTCGGCGCTCTCAGCTAGCTGTCAACATTTCCAGCACTGCCCAACCACGTACTCATTTACAGCTGATATACTAGACAAGCGGAGTAAAGTATCTTGTTCAAAGATACAACACAGTGGCATGACGTGACTCGAACCCGGAACCCTTCGGTCACGAGCCCGGCGTCCTACCA